TCCATTGTTTTAAATAGTTATTTTGAATAAAATGTTTATTTCTCATGTGTTCTCATTCATTTCTCATGTATTTATTAATAACATGTGTATTTCTTATTTTCCTGCATCTTTATGCTTCATTCACTACCTTATATTTTATGTATTGCATTGCTATGCTGTCAATGTGTAAGGACATTACTATGCACCCTGTATATTAAACTGTCTGCAAATAAATAAATTAAACTATTGTTTATTTTAACCCAATAAACCAAACTTTTCTCTTAAAATTTAAACAAAAGAACTGATGCATAACTTTACATCATTTTAAACTGTTAAATGGTTTTAACAAGGAGAGGTTCAGGCTTGGCTCCATCAGATTTCAATGAGTTTGATAAATAGTGTAATATAAGTACTCTACTATATATCAGTAATAAAGTCACTTGATGCAACTCAAGTTCTTGCAAGAAAAACAAATTTTAAGTTTTCTGCATTTCTTATAACCAAACCTGAAAAGTATTTTCTGAACGGCCTAAGCCAAGACTGTAACGTTACTAACTACTAATGTCAGTATGATGTTGATACTTTAACTGTTTACTGTTCTGCTTAAAGTTGTTCAAACCAAGTGAAAAATTGTTCTTTTTAAATCATCATACAGGAACATCCAGGCAACTAATTAAAATAGACTTCATTAACTAAAAGATTGGCTACGCAGGTCAGACATTGCTGCCCTTCATCAGTCCTTTCCTTAAAAAGTATCTGGTAAGGTAAAACATTGAATTTTTTAAGTATAATAATCCTAGAGAAATATATAAACTAAATGCATATGGTAACTTGATAATTAAAGTTAAATTAAAATCCTGCACTATCTAAAATGATGATAATTTAAAAAGTAAAAAATTTAAATTTAAATTAATAACAAAATGATAAATTACCAAAAAACTATTTAAATTCATATATAAACATCTCAAAACTCGATATTTTAGTAACATGCCAAATGATTTTCAGATTAAAATCAGGCTACTTTACCATTATTTTTAATTAAATTCATTCATTTAGATTCATTGTTACCCACAGGACCCTCATAATCTCCAAGTGTTCATAGAGTTTCTTTAAATAATATTTTTTTCTTTCTTATGGACTTTGACACTGATAAAAAAAAAAGTTGACATTGACAACATACAAGAATATAAGAAGGTACATTTGGAATGCTTTTGCTAATATTTTTCATATTTTTATTTTTTGAGTGAGTAGAAATCTTTTACTAATAGTGTATGCAGCTGAACACTGTGTCCAGATTTCAAGCCAGATTATGTATTTAGAATTTTTTAAATAACTTACTTAATTCTCTTCTTAAAAGTATGTTTCATTTCAACACAGATTTGAAGAAAATGAAAAAGAAATTTAAAAGAAAAAGCAACATTTGAACCTGCATACACATCATAGAATCCAAGTCAGCATTAGAGCCTAGTCTATGGTGACTCAGTTAGAAAACACCTTTTAAGATCTGGTTATAACAACCATGGAAAATGTTAAACTCATTTCTCACAAATCTTTGAAAGTTGCATCACATGGTTTTATTAGTTTTCTAGTAGAGTGATAATACAAAGTATTTACTTGTGAGTACTAAATTGGCCTTTCTTTATTGCTAGACTAATTACACCACCACAGGAAATCAGATTAGCCTTAAATAATCACTTTATTAAGAATGCATTTTGGACCTTAAATCCCTCATCAGCATGTTGTACAAAAAATTTAACATGCCGATTCATTGCTTAAAACATTAAAATTAAACAAGCAGTAAAACAAAAAATGTATGTAATAAAAGACACTGTTAAAACAATAAAACAGAATAATGAACTGATACACTGTTAAAACAGTAAAATATAAATATATTTACTGTTAAAACAATAAAATAATAAACTGATTCACTGTGAAATGATAAAATGATTCAAAGCACATTTTAGAATTGCCACCATTTTCTCTCCTCTTTATATACTCCATTTTACCAATATATTTTACCATACACTCCATTTTCCAAATACAAACCTAGACAAGAAGTGTATCATAGTATTACAAAGTATATTAAACTCATTTCCTTTATTTAAATAAAAAGACTGTTCATTTGTTGACTTCCTGAAATAATTAAGTTATTTGTTAATTTAGTTATATATGTATTTTAATTAGTTATATTTACACTTAGAAATAATTACCTAAACTTTAAAACTAATAAAACATTCAAACTTATACCTAAATCACCTATATTAAATTATATTATATTGAAATTATCTATACTGATGATATAAAATGATATCAGTTGTAATCCTGACAAAAATGTATTATTTTATCCATAAATAACTTGTTAGAACTTCTGTAAAGAATAAATAAATAAGGCACATCCCATTATGTCATTTTGCTTATTGTTGTATCATATTCAAAATTTTGAATATGAAACTAGCTTTACTGTAGGCTAAATGATATAAATAATATATAATTTGGTTAATGTTCTAATTGGGATCATGTTCACAATATCCAGTATTTATTTCCTGCCTCACAGAATCAATTTCAGTGTTTATAAAGAAAATTTAACAATGATAAATATTAATGATCAAAAATGTTTTTTTTCTCAACAGTGTTGAGAGACGACTTATGGTATTTCAATTTTAATGATTTAAACAAAAAAGTATTGAAAGGAAAGCAATTTTTAGTATAAATGTTTATTATAAAAAGCTTTGAAATAATCAATTAGTCCCTCAATATACACTGGCATGCAAAACTTAAGCAACAATGTAATTTTTAAGCAGACAGCCATGAACTTGTAGAAAAGGGCTTGTTGTGATCAGTACAATGAACACCCAATTCAATAGAAAAGTGATTCACATGCAAATGTCAGGAAAAAGACATCACAGGTGACAAAAGGATACATAAAATGCATGCAGTCATCACATGCAGTGTAAGACTACAATAAAAAGAAGGATGAAAGGTGCTATTAAAGGCATTCGCTGCCAGTTCAAGTGAGTTTGTACATACAATATGGCTAGAAGAAACCATCTGGACAACTTTACATGTGGTAGAATGATTCCCAGGTGATTGATTGCAAAGTTACAGCAAAAAAACAATTGTTGCTTAAGTTTTGCACACCAGTGTATTAGTAAAACAAGCATTGACATCTTGCTAAATATGACTGGCAAAAAGAACTCATCTATATTGGTTCTACTAAGTGCTCGTCAAAGACCAGATTAAGAGAACACCAAGCTGATCTACAACACAGAAGGCTCACTACAGCCCTAAGTACATATGCATCAGACCAGGACATTGAGGGAGAACTCGGCAAAGTAAAAAATTATTGCAACCACACCCCACTCAGAGCACATAAAATGGTTAGAAGCTATGGCTATTTATAAAATGAGCCATACAAATACATGCATCAACCAAAAAGAAGAGCTCAAGCTATCACCATCCTCGCAACTTTTCTTAGACACGTATCGATAATAACTGACACCCACACACAACAGTGCATGTCCATCAGAATGAAATTCGGCAAATTTTTCTATTTGAAATCTCCTGTTCTATTTTTTCTCAAGTATTCCATTTCCACCTGAAGAAGAACTTCATAAAGTTTGAAAACATTTGTGAGACAATCTTTTATAGGATGAATGCCAGTAACAGGTTCGATTTTTTATTGTAAGTGTAGTAAACTTCCATGTTAAGTGTTAGTAAAGGGTTGAACAGTATTGTCAATTTTTCTAATTGATTAACACCAGTATTCATGCTTGCTTCACTAACCAATCTGATACTATCTTGTTTTTAAAATTTTGTTATTCAATTTATGTTCCTTTTTGGGACCATTTGTAACGTGACAATGACTATAAAAGCTGTCAAAAACTTTATTTTCTCATTAAATTTTATGTTTCTTTTGCTCCATTTTTGGTTTTTTTGTTGTAAAGCCAAACAACCACAGATTACATCAGGCTACTTTTCCATGATTATATTTAATTAATTACTAAATAATTTAAATAGAGGGAGGCATTAGTAACCATCTCTTGTTAAATTTAATAATTATAATTGAATTAATATTTATTAAATAATTTAGAATTTTCTGAATGGAAAGAATCGGTCCAGAGTGGGACTTGAACCTGCAACTCCCGCTTACAGTATGGATGCATTGCCAGATATGTTACCTGAGCCTCCAATCTGATCTCCTCTTCTAGACATTTAAATATGATATCACCATCCTTGGTTACTTATGATGCTGACTGGGAACACCTTCAGCATCCTGTCCTATAAACTCCTACTCATGATACTCAACCAGCCACTGCTCAACCCCAGCATGGTATATATATACCATGCATATTGTGTATAATATATATATATTATACACAATCATCACCATCATCATGAAGCCTGATAAATTTGTAAACCAAACAACCACTAGAATGCATAAGGAAACTTTTCTGCAATTATATTTAATTAATTACTAAATAATTTGTCACTAGAGACTGGAGGCTCAAGTGGCATAACTGGTAATACATCTAAACAGTAAGCGGAAATTGCAGGTTTCAGTTTCATTCTAGGCCAATTCTTTTCTTCCAGAATATTTTAAATTATTTAATAAACATTAATTTAATTATTATTATTAAATTTAATAAAAAAAAAGCTACTAATGCCTCCCTCTAATGACAAATTATTTAGTAATTAATTAAATATAATCACAGAAAAGTAGCCTATGTAATCCAGTGGTTGTGTGACTTTACAAATTTATCAGGTTTTGTGTTGTTTATGTATATGGGTTTTTTGTTGCGTTATGCTTTAGTTTTATCCACTATTAGTTCTATAAAGTTTCATTTACCCATTTCTATTGTCATTTTAAAGTTAGTTAACAATTCTGAAATGACACCAAAAACTTTGTATATTTGCAATAGTTTCTTGTATAAAAAACTGCACATCATCAAATCACAAGCAATAATTCATATTTTAATGTTTAATTTATGAAATTATTAAAAATTTTATCAAAATATCACTACCTGTAAGTATAATGGGGCTCCTGTCTTCTTCATCCCAAACATCCTTAGAATACTGCACAAACACTTGCCCATATTCCAACTGTTTCGTTTCATCCAAAACGCCAAACATGGTCCTTCCCTTATCTGGAGTAATCTTTATTCGTGTTTTCTCCTTTAATGTTTCTACAAAAGCATTACTTTGTGGGTTATAAAAATATTTGTAATCTTTAAATTATTTTAAAATGTAAATACCTATATGTTTATAAAATATAGCCTTTAATAATGACACAAAGAATGGCTCAAACAACATTTCAATTCCATACTTGTGAATAGCATCATAATTAATGCGAAATGAACAACATTCCTTCAGCAAATCTCTTGCATCTTCTTCATAAATAAAACTCTTAAGTAATTTCTCCAACATGCGTTTTTGAAGCTCAAAAAATACACTGTCTCTTATTCCCAAGTGTGATAAAATAGTAATAAAATGCCTATTCAGATAAACTAATCCTATAATAAATTAAATAACTTTAATTTAAAAATGGATCTTAACAATACAATAGTAATAAATATCCACTAGTATTATGCAATTTAGGAAACATTACATACTCTGTAAGGGTAATTCTTCTGTATTACAGAATTGTGACACTCATTTAATTTTATCAAACTGATCTTTCTTCAAAAATAAAATAATTTACTCACTTGGTTTGCTAACTTTCAAAACTTCTAAACTCTCACTGTCAGAAGGAAATTTATTCATGCTCTTTCGAAAAATGATTTTATCCCCTTCCAGATCTGGCCAAACAGTTAACATCCCTTTAAAACCGGCATATCTTATTTGCATGGCTGAAGGTTGGTTTGTAAATTTTAAATTTTCGTACACCTAAAAAATAATCTATAGTTCAATAAATTATATATTAAAATATTAAAAATAAAATTTAGTAACTATACCTTTCTCGCTAATGAAAGGGATATTTTGCCTATACCATCAGAAAATTCATATTCCTCTTGAGATTTTGGACAAGTGACTTTTATGTCATCCTCTTCTTCAATATTATTCTTGTCCACATGAGCAGCTTCTATTGCCTGAGAAAAAACTTGACCCATCCTTGCCATATATTTTGACACACATTTTATGTGCTCAAACTTTCCTAACTCGCAAAGGATATTACCAATATCCTCGTATGCATAGAACATTAAACCCTGATCTCTTAAATGACTTGTTGAACAGCCTAAAATCTTGTAATGTCTTTTACCAATTTTAAAACCATTTAACAATTCTCTTTTTATTATATCAATAGCTTTGTTGAACTCAGACTGATCCCCTCGAAATGAAAATGACAGTTTTTCGAAATTATCGTCTCTCACGGATACTCTCAGTGCATTTTCTTCATCAAACTTTCTAAAGAAGCGACACTTAAAATACGTCTGAGGTGGGAGAAAGATTACTCTTGTTGGTGTCAGAATAGCTCGTCGAACATTAACACAATTACCATTTTTTCCATTGACGTCATCATCATTAAAATCTTTGTTTCTATTGTAAATAACATTCAGAGCATTTTCAAACATAACAATGTGTTTCCTTTCCAGAGCTGCATTAATTTCAATTAATGTCAATTCCAATGCTTTAGGATTTTCAGAAACACATCTCTTTAATTTCTCATTTATATCTCGAAGATTGTTTTGCAAATATATTTGTACAGAAACATCCCTGGTTCTAGAAATGATGCATTTTAACAAGTAAATACAGTTAAAGTTATCGCTTGGAATTTGCGGAATTGGATAATTCTTAGGTCTTTTGCTTTTGTTAAGGAAAGAAAAGAAATAATCCATATTCCTGCAGTTATCGACCAGACGATGGATAACATCTTGCGATTTTTCCCATGTCATCTGCAACTTTAGTACAGTTGACAGGCCAATGTCGGACTTGGAGCAATGATAAAAACTCGGCATCCTGGTATAATGAGTGCATGGTTTTCTGTTAGTATAATTTGTATATTCCTCTGTTTTGGCATTTTCTGGAATTTTCACCATATACACCATTGCTGGATAAGTGATATATAAACACACTTCTGCTGTTTTATTAGTTGGCACTTTATTAATGAGTATCCTATAAATATCTGAATATTTTATTTCAAATTTGTGTAACAAATGTGTTTCAGCACTCTTTTCTTTTTTATTCAAATTCTTTTTGGTAACAATAAAATATATGAGCAGTTTCTTACAATCATGTTCAAAATCTCCTTTTATCTGCGTTATTTTATACTCTAAAGAGTTGTCGAGATTTTGTTTGGCAGTATCATAATGTTCGACCAAATTATTTAATCCGACAATTGTTCCAAAAGCAAAACTGTGAATATTTACCTCTTTATCATTGAGTTTAGTGAACGAATCAAATATTTTATTTTCTTTAATCGATATCCAAGCTTGATTTTGACCAAAATCTTGCCTGCACCATCTTTCTATTAAAATTTGCTTGTAATCTTCTAAAGATTTTGGCAAATTTAATTTGCAATTTAACACATTTTGTTCTTCTTCATAGTAATCTGGAAGTCGTGGAATCTCTTCCCATTCTGACAATTTACATCCTATGCAATCTTCAACCTTCTTTTTAATATAATCTATTTTTTGCTTTGGTAGCCAAATTATCTTCACTTCAATTTCTTTCTTTCTATTCATATTACTAGAAATTATTATTAATGTAATTCATTGTCTCATTATACTTACAAAGATAAAAAGATTAATAAGTTCATCAGTAAACTATTTAATTTTTAAAATATTTTAAAATTAACTCTTTAAAATAATACAATTCATTAATATTCATTAATAGTTAAAATTTAAATAAAATACATTCTCATGAATCTAAAATTATTATTGTTTGAGGTTGTTCTAATTAGGTAATATGATCAAACCTCAATACAGTGCTTTCTCAAATAGAACTTCCCTTGTAAAGTGTTAATGAGGACTCATAAATGGATCTCTTCCATAAGTATCTGTTACTAAATATATGATTTTGTAGTGCAAATGACATTTTTATCAGCAATGCAACTTAAATTTGCATGCAGATGTTACTACATGTAACTCTTATTGTTTGAAACACTTGTTTTGTACCACACTCAATTGAAAGGCAAACAAATATATTCTGTCAAATCTCAATTTATTGCTGCTATCAGAAATGGTCACAATGTCACGAGAGGAACCAAGTATCAGCTATTAGAAATATGCATCCTCTATTGAAATGGTATTTTGTGTAATATAGTTAAAATACCATAGTTATCACTGTTAATTTACTTTACTGGTAGTTTTTAACTAGATAGGTAAGCATAACTTTATAAACATACCCTTAGCTTTCAGTTGCTTGTTCAAGGACTGAAAATTGTGCTTACAATCTGTGTGTATATCACACTATTTAATAGTTTTGTACTACTTTTTACAAGTTTTCTATGTATAAGCAGTATATATCGAGTTTATAAAAAGAAAATGTATAAATATAAATAAGCGAGTTACAGTACGAATCTAGAAGAGCTGCATGTGGCTTCCAAGCTACTGTTTGGCTATTGTGGGTATATAGTATAGTCCTGATTATCTAAGGTAATATGAATCAAGAGTTCAGCCAATAATTAATAAGTTGGATAACTTAGAATGTTTGATAAATTATTAAATAAGCTAAATTTTCATGCTTTAACATGTGTCATATGTAAAATGTATTGTATTTTTAGGTTAGGCCCATATATTATATAAAACTACTACTAAATTATACAAAAAAAAAGAAATACTTTTAATTTAATTTACAAGTTTTATATATTAACTTAAATGTAAAGCTATAATTAAAAAAAAAAAATTAAAGAAATTTTAATTGTAAAGAGAAGTCCTATGCACTGCCCAGCTAAGATTTGTGAACTTGCACTACATTTTTTGGCAAAACATTCTTCCAATCTTACACAATTCACCTAGATTACTATATATTTAGTATATGTAAATACAGTAAACATAGTGCAAATGAAAATATGTAGTACATATTAACAAAATCTTCAAACTTGTTACCGGTGTATTCTCCCACAATGACAAAAACACAAAAAATAAATAATGTGTGTATAGTGTAATAAAGTATCGTGTGTTTTTATGTAATCTATTTGTGTATTTTGTGGTAATTAATGTATTATAGAGTAAAATTATGTGTATAATGTGCTCATATATGTACAATTACACCTCTATGAGACAGTTGAGACCCATACCCACAGGAGGAGACAAATTCAAAGAAACCATATCTCTACACGTGACCCTTGGCAAGACAGTGTTCCAAAAATCCACCCATTTCCAGGTTCCACACGATTGGGAGTCCTGTCACTCTGCTAAGACTATCACATTTAACTATTTAACCCATGCAAATATGCCGTCTTTGAGTAGCCCATTTCATTGTTCACCGTGTACTTGGATGGTATATGGTTTTTGGGGGCATGGTGGCTTGACTCCATGTGGGTGACAAGGCACTTGCTCACACCAAAGAGCATGATTATATGCAGAGCGCTAGGTCAAGGCAAGCAATCGCTCACTGTAATCAACACTGCATGGAATATGCAGTGTGTCATAGGCAATAGGCAGTATGCAGGTTCACAGCAAATATCTCTCAAAGTACGGTTTCATCGATGTTTTTGCTTGTACAGAGGGGTCTATAACTCAGAATAGTGAATCCTTTAGAATTCACATTATAGCATACCTCTCATGTCATATGTAGAGATATGGTTCCTTTGACTTTTTTGCTCTTATGGAGTATACTCAGGCCCGCTGTAAGCGGGCGTGCATTGCACGCGGGCAGCACGTCCAGGGGGTGGCAAATCAAGCGATCGGTCACGTAATATTCAAAGTCATTGTCCCAATACCCACCCTACTTATAGAATAAGAAATGTCTTCACAAGGAGAAAAAAATCCGACCAGAGTGCAATTACTATATTCTTATTTAGCCTATATTATAGCATTAACAGCACCTCTATTGGCATTTATCAGAATTAGGATGCAATGCGAAACGTCTGTCGGCAGGTTGAACTATCCGGCGGCGCCCGAAAGCCAAGTACTCATAGTCGTGCTCTATGACAGAAGTTGACAGGACTGGAGAAATTAGGGAATCCCCACAGGGCTTCCTTCTCAATTTGTACTTGTATGCATTCGAACAGTTCTATCGCATATCAAATTGCAATTATTTTGTTAATAATTCTTCTGACATGGGTCTAAGTATAATTAATGATATTTTAACTTGGTTAGGATTTAAATCTGAAGCTTAAAAGATGATTCAAGTAGCGAAACAGACATTGATGGTATTGATTTGTTTAATGAAATCAATACTTTAAAGTTGCATTTTCCAGAAAACCAGTCTAATGATCCACAAACCCTATTATAATATCTTTTTACTAATGACTTAATTTCAACATTTCCGAACACAGCAATAGCACTAAGAATATTACTTACATTGCCGGTTTCAGTTGCATTTGGTGAAGGGTTCTTTTCAAAGTTAAAATTATAAAAAAAACTATTTAAGATCAACAACGCACCAGCAAAGATTAAGTAATTTAGCTATATTTTCAATTGAACATGAAATCTTAGACTGCTTGGATACATGAAAATTGATAGCAGATTTCACAAACATAAAGGCAAGAGAAGTTCAATTTCTATAGATAAATATATGGTTTTACACTTAAGTAAACAAAAATAACTTAGTAATAATAAATAGTTTTTCTCTGTAAAGTATTTATTCTTTCACACCCTTATGAGACAACACTAAAGAGCTTTTCTGACAAGCTCAGCGTAGGTAATCGTAGTTAAACAGGGGGCGGCATAATCGGTATTGCACACGGGCGTTCAAACTGCTAGCGGTGCCCCTGAGTATACTCTACAGATCTGTTAAGGTCCCAACAACCATCTCATTCAAAGCTTGAATTCAGCCCTTAAAACCTTTATTACTTTATGAATGATACCATAAGTAGACACAAAACACACAAGAAATTCTGAAATAAATATAATAAAATGAATAAACTGTATGATACGATTTGGCTTAACCCACCTCCCTTCGTGTCATCTATGGACAGTCCCTTACATTAAATTATATTTATTTTTATAATACAAATTAATGAATTACATTATTTTACAGAATTACAAAATAATAATTATTATTATACAATAATCATTACTATTTATATCTTTTTACTAAAACTCCGTCGTAATACTTTCATTTTTAAACATTTCTGGTATAATTTGGCATTTGTTTAAACAATATACTCACCTTTCTTGACTGAACACCACACCACGTTCACCAGCAATAATAACCAACACGTGACCTTCCTCTACCCATAAAAACGATGTGTTTTGGTTTTGATTGTAGTTTCGTTTCCAGTTGCTTGTTAAATTATTTATGTATCGAAATTAACTATATTAATACAAATTTCGCGTAGAAAATTAAAAACAAATAATCGAAAAAGTACTTTAAACCTATGTAAAATATTCACGTGTTTTATATTTTTAAATATTGTAGCGCTATCTCGTAAGAAATCTGTCATCACAAAATATTAATTTACTTGAATAAACTAAATAAATTTAAATTAATTATTGTAATAATAAAAGTGTATTTTTAATTTTTATTATTTAAAAACGTATTTATAAATGTACAAAATTTTATGAAAATTAGAAAAAAAATTTTTCTAATCTTTTTAAAGTAATAAAAAAACTGCTTTTCTTTGTTGAAATGATTTATTAATTATATTTTGTTAAAAAATTAAATTTTGGGGGATTTAAATTAATATTAATTAAATTTTTAAATAAATTATTACATACAAAATATCTCAAATTAGTTTATATTCACTAGATGGCGCGAATTTAGAATTTGATTTTTACCTCAGAGATAAAAAAATAAAATAATAGTTAAAACGAAGCAAAATTCCTAATTAAAAGTTATTTTTAATGTTATTTTTAATTTATCACGAAAAAAGTTACATAAAGATTATTAATAAAATCTTAATTTTCATAAATTAAATTCTCCCTCTAGTGACGGAATCAAATAATTAATTGATTCACAAAATGTATAGCCGAAGAGGTTATCAGCTACCGCTCTGGTGAATCCGGGATCGATTTCGGAAGATCAACTCCTTAGACATTTGTAATGGGTAATCTATTCCGGATACGTCGGGCCCCATCTTTTACCACCCAGCCGCCCCGTTAGGGGTTGGGCCGTACCCACAATGAATATGTAAAAAAAAGATCCTCCCTGAAGGATCTAAACGCTTCTATCTTCTGGTTAAAATAACAATGAATTGATTAACTTTCAGATATGAAAAACAGAAAACAAAATTTCCATTAAACTAAAAACATTTATATATACATGTAATTACCGTGTTCGTAGACTGTGACATGAGAATTATGCAAATTATAATTGTATCTATTGCGATCTGAAGCGAGGCGACAAACGTGTGCGTCGCGACTTTCGCTCTTCATAATTTCCAACATGAAATTTTAAGATAATAGGTTGTATTAGATCTACAAATAGGATAAAATCTAAATTAAAATATATTTTTTGTAATATTCTTATATTTTGTTACAATAAACATAACGTATCAATCGTTAATTATACATAGATGGCCTGAAAGTTGCTCCAACAAAGGATCTACAGACTAACAACATACAACTGTTCTTATTTGTATTGTAGAAAAATAAACGAACAATCAATTTTTCTTTCTGTTCTGACTTACGGAGGGTAGGTAACTAAATTTCTAAAACATTATATCAATAATGAAATAAAAATTAAAGTTAAGAAAAAGGTAAAAGCAAACCCAATTGCAGAGAAACACTTTATTACACTTTCAGACTCACTAAATGCATTTCGCCAAGAAAATTAGGCCTCCTCAGTAGGGTTAAAGTCAAACTTTTATGAACATTTCAAAAGTTATTGTGGTTTATTGAATGTACCTTTTTACATTTTTTCATTATTTTATTTTATTGAATAATGTTAACTTACTTGATTTGTCTTGCCACGTGGTAGTTAGGGTTCTTGCCACCACGTGGCAAGACAAATCAAGTAAGTTAGCATTATTCAATTACTACAACCTGCCACAATTTTTAAAAAACCGTTTAATTATGTATTTTATTTTATATTAAGTTATTCGATTATATCAACTATTAATCTACCGATTGTCATTTTTATTTTCAGAAGGAGGTGACAAGAACAAACAGATTATCTTTTATAATGAATGAAACAAGTTCATTTATAATCTATCTGCTGATATTGTGAATGGAGATGGCTTCAGAAAACAAGTAATAGACAGGAAAACGGTTCGAAATGAAACAGATTTGAAGTTTCAATTCTGCCAAGAACAGCTATGAAAACTTTTTTCATCCTAAAGTAAGATTTATCTTACAACAGATTCCTGGACTGGTTCCTTTAATGTAAGTTCATATCTTGGAACTACTACTCACTTTGTGGAAGATTATTTTTGTAAAAGTGCAATAATTGGACTTAAGCATTTAAAAGCAAGTCATACAGCTGAATGTTTGTGCAAATGCCTAGAAGAAACCTGTTCAACTGTTGGGATTGAAAAGCACAAAATAGTTGCAGTTGTTACCGATAATGCGGCAAACATTTGCAAAGCAGTAGACCTTTTCGTCGGAAAGATAAACACCTTAAATGCTTTGCCCACTCTTTAAATCTCGCAGCGCAGGATTCAATGGCTGACATACTAGAATTTAATGAATTGCTAAACAAAGTGTAAGCCATTATTTCATTTTTTCATCACAGCACAACTGCAACCCATCAGCTGCAAAAGAAACAACTATCTTCAAGAGAAACTTTCCCTTTGAAACTGAAAATCAGTTTACTCACCAGATGGAACTCAGTATATGATATGCTGGATCGATTTTTGAAAATTAAAAATGCAGTTGCCATTGTGCTACAGAAACTAAAAGATGCTCCCAATATGCTTGTTAAAAGTGAAATGGAAATCTTGGAAGAATGTTTCAAAGTTTTGAAGCCATATTACTTGGCAACCGTTGAACTGATAGGTGAGAAATACACAACAAATACACTTAGTAAAGTTATTCCTGTTGTTGTCCTTATTGCAAAAACTCTGGAGGAAACAAACCTCATCACAAAAATTGGAAAAAATCTTAAAAAGACCTGTTTCAATAATATCGACAAACGATTTTGTGGCAAAGAAAAGAATATGTTATAAAACATATTTAAGATTTCAAAAGCAAAATATGTGCTGCAAATGCAATTTCTTTCATCAATAACTATCTATCCCGACAGATTAAATATGATGTAGACTGTGTGGAAACCTTAAGTGAAACCATTAAAAGCACAGATGAGAATAGTCTGTGGTCACATAGGGAAATCAGAGATCCCATTAAAGTCTAAAGAAGGTTTTTGTACTACATTTAAAACTTAGAAGCTGCAACTATATCACACAATGTTGATACTCTTGTTACATGACAGTCAACGTTTGCCCATTTCAATTATTACCTTGAGAAACTGGCTGTTACATATTTAGGTATTCCAGCAACCTCAGTACCTGCAGAACGTCTTTTTTCAAAAGTTGGAAATATTATTACAAAGAAACGATGTGCATTGCATCCAAAAAGAGTTGAGAAACTTGCTATTATGAGTAGCTTTGAGTTTAATGATATACCTTCTTTTTCATTATAGTTTGTTTTGTAATATTGTGTAAATTTTCAATTACAGTAGAGCACCGATTATCCGACCCCCAATTAACTGTCACCTCGGTTAACCGACCGCATTCTAGTCTGCAAATTCAAATGTCCGCTAGTGATGTGGCGCTACAGTATTTGGCTATGTCTTGGCTACTTTAATATTATTTTTACGTGTTTTAGCTAGCAACACTGGATCGACCATGAAAGAGAGCCAGTATTTAAACGAGGCTTAATTTTCTAATTTTTAACGATACAATAGCGACGATTATTATTTTTAAAAAAAATTGATAGGCTTAACATGGAGGAAAATTCAACGCGAAGTAGGTTAATAGCGATATACTAATATACTAATTACATGGAATATAATAATATACTACACTAATAATGGATTTTTTCATACTTTTCGGTTATCCGACTTTTCAATTATCCGACCAACCCCAGTCCCCAATTAGGGCGGATAATCGAGGTTCTACTGTATA